CAGCCCCCCCCCCCCCTTTCACCCCTCTCCTGATGCACTGAGCTCGAAGCACTCACTCACTCACAATGCCTCCTCCCAAGGCTGTGACCCATATATAGCTTCTCTGGGTCCTGAGAGAATTGTGAGGGGTAATAACAACGTCAACAGAAGTATTCCAAGGGAGTGATGCACCCCTCTGGGATCCAAGGGAAGCTGAACCTGACCCAGAAGCAAAGGAGCTGTGCTATTACTATTCTAGAGGGAAGGGAAGTGACGAGACGGAGAAAAAAAAAAGGATGATCGGTGCTGGAAAAGAAGAACTTCAGGAGCGGAGTCATAGTCAGCACTGAAAGATCACAGATATGGACACTGGCCAACTGAGAATTTGGGAACTTGGGAACTGGGATCCGGATGGTCTTTCACTTCTTGATGCTGCCCCCTTCTGGTTGTATCTGGGAGTTGCAACCTTGCTGATGTCAAGGCTTAAACTTCCTAAAGTAATAGCACTGTCCTCCCATTGTTCATCTATTTGCTCGAGCGGGCCCAGTAACGTCTCCATTGTGAGACTTGTTGTTATTGTGTTTGGCATATCGAATACATCATGAGTAGCTTGCCAGGATTTGCCATGCGGCAAGATACTCTCAGTAGCTTGCCGGGCTCTCGGAGAGGGGCGGAGGAATCGAACCCCTGTTGGCCACATGCAAGGCAAACACCCTACCTCCGTGCTATTGCTCCAGCCCTACAGTAATATAAAATGATATTTTCATAACCTCAGATAGAGAATGATTTGTTACATCAGCTAATTTGTCCATGAATATTCACTGACTGACTACTGTGTGGTTACTGTCTCTTCGCTAATTTATGTAAATGTACCTGAGGATAAAGTAAACAAATGATTTTGTGGAACTTATATGCTGACCATAGTGATTTTGCACCACTTTTGAGGCTTTACCTATATTATTGCTGACAGGATCCCTTAACTCCTTTCTTGGACTTCATAAATTTCCTCTAAAACTAACCTATGAAAGATTTTATGAAAGATACTATATTGTAAGATTTGAGTCTCCACCTAGAAAGGTGAGGCCAAAATACTTTACAAGAAACTGGATATTCTTGATATCATAGTTATATACACACAAATTTTGATTGCACTACAAAAAGCAATAAACAAGCTGAGATTCCTCTGAGTGAAGTTTTTCCTTCATCCAAGGAGTATTTATTAAAATAAATTCTGTGGGGGGGGGGGCAGGTAAGCAATATGGGACTGGGAGATGGTTCAGTGAATAAAGCATCAGCCTTGAAAGTGTAAAGTTGCAAAGTTCACCTGTGCCACCCATGTGTGCTGAGCTAGATAGATCTTGAGAGCTTGGCTGTATGTGATCCCAGTGCGACAGGGTTTCCATTGGCACTGCAGCCAGGTGTGTGGGAGCCCAGCAACTCCACAAAGGGTGAGATCCCAGGTGAGCACCACAGCTAAAGTGCAGTATGAGAACTGTCATGCTCTGTGACTCTTTTTTTTTCCAGTTCTCATCAACTACTTCTGGGCTTTTTGTTGTTGTTGTTGTTTTATTTCGTTTTCTGGTGTGGCACCAGGAATAAAACTTGGGGTGGGGCCTAGCACATACAAGCAAGTGAGCTACCTCTGAGCTATATATCTGGACCTTTATTTATTAATACCTAGTTAATAAAGTCCAACTACACATTTTATCTCGCTCTGCTCATCACTCTCACCATTTGAGAGACTTAGTCCCTGCAGGTTGAAAAAATAACCCTAGTTGCTTGCCTTTACACAACCAACCAGGATTTGATCCCTTGTATCCCATATAGGTCCCTGAGCACCGCGAGGAGTAATTCCTGAGTGCAGAACCAGGAGTAACCCCTAAGCATTGCCAGGTGTGACTCCAAAACATAACAAACCAAAAAAAGGAAAAAGAACCCTAGTGCTGCGAGTTACTTATTTTTGAGCAGGCCAGTATTAGATAGCAAGAATAGGAATTGTTATAGAAGAATAAAAGGGATAATAAACATAAATGAGCAGGTATAGAGAGTTTCTTTATTTTATATCACTAATGGGCTGAAGCAATCGTACAGCAGGTAGGTAGTTTGCCTTGCATGCGGCTGACCCGGGTTCAAGCCACAGCACCTCATATCCCCAGCATCCCAAGCATCGCCAAGAGTAATTTCTGAGTGCAGAGTCAGGAGTAACTCCTGAGCATCACTGAGTGTGAATCAAAAACAAAAAAAAAAAAAAAAAAGAAAGAAAAAGAAAGAGATTCCATATCATCAAATTATATTGGGTATACATGTTCATGAATATCTAGTATATGGTAATAAAAGTTTATTCTAACGCACATAAATTGCATGTATTTACATCTGAACAGAACACTGTTCATCTTAAAACCAGAGAGAGTTCAGTGGGTAAGACATTTGCCTTGCATGTGGCTAACCCTAGCTTGAATCCTGGCATATATAGTTCCTTGAACACTTCCAGGAGTGACCCTGGGCACAAGAGCTGGAGTAAGGCTTGACCACTGACAGGTGTGACCCATAAAATAAAAATAAATAAATATAACGTAAAAATAAATCTCCACATTGTAGTCCCTTTATGCTTTTGAGAAGTCCAAATGCAAATTTCCTAACAAGGGTAATAAGCTCTGCCTAATCTGTTACTGTGAGCTTATCTAGAATTTCTCTTCCTCTGCAAGTTCTGTGTGATTCTATGCCTTTGCATTTGCCCTGACCTCTTACCAGAAGTGTCAAATGTTCAGGCTGTCTCTGCCCATCTCCAGGCAGGACTAATATTCTAATAGTCACTTAAACTGAGTATTGTCTTTACCCTTCCCCTCAAGACCATTTGTAGGCCGAGGTGAATTTTGAGTTCATTTCTTGAGGAGACGGCAGAAGAAACTAAGGCGTAGAAGGAAACTGTACCTGACCCATCTCCTCACCTCTGCACAGATAAACCTCAAGCCCCTCTGTTCATCTCTAACTGGATGGGACTGTCCCTGTTCTGGTTTTGGATGCATCACTGAGGAAGGCTGCCTGGTATGGCTTCCCTAGGGATAGGTAGAAAATTCTGGAGACACCTCTGTCACTGGGAATTGACTTTCAGTGGTCAGTTGAGATTGGACTGGAGTCCCAGGAGAGAGTAAGAAGAGAGAAATCCTTCTCTTCCCTTTGCTATCAATTCATTTTCTTCTACTTAGAATCTGATTTGTATACCATGGGAGAGAGGCAGGGAGTTCCTACTACCTACCCTCTTTTATGCTCCACTCACTCTCCATAGCAACTTATTCTTCCAATTATTCAGCAGGAATATTTCCAACAATCCTGGTACTGAGGAAGCAATAATCATGAAAATGTCATGAAGATACAATATTAAGATGATCATGATAATTCCACTAATAAGACGCCTCATTTGGAATTGATGTAAGTGGAGGGTGGGGACAGGAGGAAAGGGCAAAATTATAAATTCTAAGGCCTGAACATGTAGGCAATCTATAGCAAGAATTCCATTGCTTCAGTAATCATGCTGTTATGAAAAGCTCAGTGACAGCTAATGACAAATCTTATCTTAATCAGCAGGTAAAATAATGGCACGGTGTATTGATAAAGAGATAAAGCTTATGAGCCTTCCAACAGTAACAAACTTCAAGAGTGTTCTAGGAATTGGAAACGGAGAAGGGTGAGTAAGAAAGTGAAGGACTCTGAAGAACATTTTGACCCAGTGACAATGTTGAACCAATCAATGACAGACAAAATGTAGCTAATGTGACATTTATGGGGGGGAAAACCTGTTTGAACGACAAGAACAAATTAGAGAACACTGGAATATTAAAGGCAATTAGAATCATATCCCAGTGCTCGGGTTAAAAGGGACAAAGTTTCCAGAAGTTTTAGAACATGTAAAAACTCACAAACTGGCAGGCTATCGAATGTAGCCTGCCCACAGGGCAGAGTCTAGCAAACTCCCCGTGGCGTACCAAATATGCCAAATACCAGTAACAATGATGGGTCTCATTCTCCTAAAGAGCCTTGAATATAATCTCAGGGCTAGGATGAAAGAGACGTTATTGGGGCCTGCTCGAGGCAATCGACGAATAACAGGATGATGAAAAATGAAATGAAATGAAAAACTCACTAAGAAATGCAATAAGGAGGGAAAACATAGACAAGGGAATGCTGATCTAATAGGCTACTATTTAACATGGATGGCTAAGCAAACTGCTCTGGGCCCAGCGCTGTCCCTGGGAATAAACCGGGTTCGTTTTTAAGAGTCAAGGGCCTGCGTGAAACGCTAGGGGTCCGGTGGTCCAGACTCGGCTGATGCAGCGCTCAGCAGCATCTCAGAAGTTTGAGCCCCTGGACTTTTTCCGGGAGCTGACTCTGAGGATTCTCCTTTTTTTTTTTTTTTTTTTTTTTTTTTTTCCCCTTTATTTTATTTTATTTTTTTTAAAGTTGTAGGTTTACAATTTTTTGTGCTTTGGTTTCAATTATACAATGATCAGATACCCATCCCTCCACCAGTGCCCATTTTCCACCACCATGGATAATATCCCTCCCACCCCCATCCCCCCATCCCCCCGTCTCTGTGGCAGGGCAATCCCCTGTGTTCTCTCTCTCCTTTTGGGTGTTGTGGTCTGCAAAAGAGGCATTGAGTGGCAAACATGTTCAGTCCACAGTCTACTTTCGACATGCATCTCCCCTCCTGGGAGGATCCTCCAAACATCCTTTATTTGGTGCTCCCTTCTCTATCTGAATAGCCCTTTCCTCTAGGATACCAGACTGGCCTCTAAGTTAAGCAGCCCTGCGGGCCTTTTCCTTTCGGTAATAAGAACCTGGAGAAAAAAAAAAAACTACTATGAATCAATCGGATGAAACCAGTCAGGCTCCTAGCGCCCCAGTCCCCACATCTTATTGGCTACGGTTATCCAGATTCTTCCCTATGATTGGCTGTTCCCACAAAGACCCCGCCAGCAGGGCGGAGCCTCGGCCGTGGGGGCGTGGCCGCGGCTAGGACGGACCCGGAAGAGGAGCTGGATGCGGCCGCGAGCGCCGCTCACGCAGGTACTGCGCTGCGGGTCTCCGACCCTGGGTCCTTGGCGGCTCCACTCTCGGTTAACACCGCGGGGAGAGCTAGTTCTAGCTGAGGGTGATGCCTCTTCCAAAGTCTGGCGTCTTCCAGGGGCATCTTCCTCTGCCCCGCAGGCTCCCTGCCCCCGCGAGGCCTGGAGGTCACCTTCTCGCTCAGCTCCAGAAACCCGCACTCAGGGCCCCCCCTCGCCCCTCTTTCCACCCAACACTCCAGCTATTCCCATATGTACCCCCCCACCCCCCGTCTCCCCTGCACACACACACACACACACACACACCTCTCAAACTGACACCCCACCGAACCCCACCCATCCCAAGGCACAGTAGAAGCAATTCTACATTTAATAAGAAGAAAAATTGTCGAAGTAACTTACCTTGAATGTGTTAAAGCAAGACTTGCGTCTTAACGTTAGCAGCAAGAGCATCCTTCCTCCGAATCCATTTTGCAGAGCTTCCAGCACTTACTTAACATCTTGTCATTTTTCGATCTTCTTATGACCCCACTAAATCCAAGTAATGTGCTTCTACCGTCCATGCTGATTTTTTATTTTGATACTTCTTCACCTTTTTCTATATTCGTTTTGCTTTGATTTTTCACTTAGTTTTCCCTACTGCCACCTTCTGCCTTCTTTGATACTGTTACTTTCCTTATCCGTCCATCTTTGTAGCTTTAAATTATATTTGTATTCTTTGTATTGCTGCTTTCCTTATTTATTCATCATTGTAGCTTTTAATAATAGCTGTCCATCTCCGTTGTGTCCATTTTAGGTGGTAACTTTGGAGGGCCTTTCTATATTAGAGGAGGATATTGATACTTTTTTCCATTTCCAATGCATTGTCAGTTGGGCTTGTCATTTCATTTAATTATCTTGTATTCAGAAGACTTCCAGGCACAGTTTCTTGTTATTGGGGGGTATAATGGACACAGCCCCTGTCTTCCTGTGACTTTTAGGGAAGCTTTTAACTGATATTAAAAGCAGGATCAGAAAGAAGTTATTTCACACTCTTGGTATCCTAAATAGAATAGGTAGATAGGGGGTCTACAGGAAAGTGAAAGTTTCTAGGTGAAGAAACAGCTCTTTTGTAGAGACACTTTGTGCAGTGGGTGCTCAGGAATCAGAATAGATGCTTTAGTGGATTAATAATATACTTTAGCTATGCTATTAGATTCTACACTTTGGTAGTGATAGGAGGAAGAGGAGGAAAGTGGAGGCAGGGTGGCCCCATGAGCAGACCTGACATGCTGATGGCCTGTCACATCACTGTATCACTGTATCACTGCCATCCATTGTTCATCTGTTTACTCAAGCAAGCACCAGTAATGTCTCTATTCTTCCCAGCCCTGAGATTTTAGCAGCCTCTCCTTACTCATCTTTCCCAACGATTGGAGGCTCTTTCAGGGTCAGGGGAATGAGCCCTGTTATCGTTACTGTCTTTGGCATATTGAATACGCCACGGGGAGCTTGCCAGGCTCTGCCCGTGTGGGCAGGATACTCTTGGTAGCTTGCCAGGCTCTCAGATATATATCTGTCACTGTCACTGTCCTCCCGTTGTTCATCAATTTATTCGAGCGGGCCCAGTAACATCTCCATTGTGAGACTTGGTTGTCACTGTGTTTGGCGGCATATTGAATGCACAGCGGGTAGGGCGTTTGCCTTGCACGCAGCCAACATAGCCAACCCGAGTTCGATTCCTCCGCCCCTCTTGGAGAGCCCGGCAAGCTACCGAGAGTATCTCGCCCGCACGGCAAAGCCTGGCAAGCTACCTGTGACGTATTCAGATATATATATATATATATATATATATATATATATATATGTCTCTCAGTGATTTGTTGCCTAATGTCTGAACCCCATCAAACATGGTGTGGTAATTATAGAAAATGGGTAGGAAGTGTAGGAAGTGCTGTCATGCAGTCCAGAAAGCAGCCTGGAGCGTGGCAGTAGTTGGATAGTGGAGGTCGGCTGCTGGGGCTGGGTCCCTTGGGGCAGAGGGCTCTCACCTGTCCCGCTCTGGGGTGCCCTGAGTGAAAACAGTCCTGGTGCGGGCTGTCACATAGAGTTCTGTGAACTCTGTCTAGTCTCACATCTGTCAGGATGATTTTTTTGACTGTCTTCGACCACTTTCCCCACCCCCTCCTCTTGAATTTTTATTATACCTTGAAGCTAGAGAATTAAGCAGTTTACCCTAGAGAGAATGGTAGAACCCTGTACCAAGCACATGAAAACCATTAAATAATAATTTCAGCTTGGAATTGTGATGTAAACTGGGCTAATCCATGTTAAGATGTTCAGAGTAGTGCCTGCCACTTCATGGACTGCAGGAGTGATTATTAATGTTGTGCCCACAATACCAAATAAAATGTGAAATCCATTTGGGTTTAGGAACAAAACACTTAACATCCACCTGCTAAGGCATCCCACCCTTCATGTCTGTTTTGTGAAGAACATGATCTAGTCAGGAAGTCCAATGCTTATTAAAAGAGGTCAAAAGTGTTCCCATTTATGGAGGAAATTGTTTTCCTCACCCACTAATTATTCTTTATTCTGATCTCTCTGGTCTTGTGTTAACTTTCTTAATTTTCTTTTTTTCCTCCAGCCTCCACTGCCACTACTTGATTTTATTCTTGTTCTGAGGAGGGTGTAAGAATGCGCTATGGACCCTACTGCATTGGTGGCCGCTGTTATGGAAGAACTGGCCTGTCCGATCTGCATGACCTTCCTGAGGGAGCCTGTGAGCATTGACTGTGGCCATACCTTCTGCCACAGCTGTCTCTCTGGACTCTGGAAGGTTCCAGGGGAATCCCTGAACTTGAGTCACACATGTCCCCTTTGTCGGGCTCCTATTAAGCCAAAGAACTGGAGGCCTAATTGGCAGCTGGCCAGTGTTGTAGAAAAAGTCCGACTATTAGGGCTACCTGCAGGAATGGGGCAGAAGAACAACGTGTGTGAGCAGCATAAAGAGCAGCTCAAGGTGTTCTGCAAAGACGACGGCCTTATCATGTGCGAGGTGTGTGGCCAGTCCCTGGAGCATGAGACCCACCATGTTGTACCAATGGAAGATGTCTACTGGGAGTATAAGGTGGGATATGGAGTCTTTCCCATCACCTGCTATCGCTAGATTCAGGACTTGACTAAAGGCCCCCAGGACTGAATAAAAGCTCATTTCCTTGAATTTATCTTTCAGATCTTGGGCACCTGATAGTCAGCCACACTTCTTCATGCATTCCTGACCTTAGATTTCCTTCCCTCCCATTTTCACACCCCATTCCTGAGCCCAACAAAACTTAACCCCTGTGCATCACCAGGTGTGACCCAAAAAGAAAAAATTAATGTCTAATTCGCTGGAGCGATAGCACAGCGGTAGGGCGTTTGCCTTACAAGCGGCCAACATGGCTGACCCGAGTTCAATTTCTCTGCCCCTCTCGGAGAGCCCGGCAAGCTGCTGAGAGTATCTTGCCCACACGGCAGAGCCTGGCAAGCTACCCGTGACGTATTCGATATGCCAAACACAGTAACAACAAGTCTCATGATGGAGACGTTACTGGGCCCGCTCGAGCAAATCGATGAACAACGGGACAACTGTGGACCTGAACGTCTAATTCAAATGTATTACTGAATTTGGTAGAGATACATATTGTTTAGCTGGCATTCTAGGTACCTTGGGATGGTTTTGAGTCTGAAGTAGTTAAGGCTGCACATATTAGAACCTACAAATTCTTCATAGCTATACCATAGTCATTCGACATTGGACAAGTCATTTTAAGTTCCTTTGCCAGGGGAAGAGGCATGCGAGGTATTTGGGGGTTTGGGACACACCCAGCTGTTCTGAGGGTTTACTTCTGGCTCTGTGCTCAGTGATAACCTTTGGTGAGGCTTGGGATCGAAGCTGGTTTGGCTGTGCAAGGCAAGCGCCTTTTCCACCATACTCTCTCTGGCTCCTACGGTCCTTACTTTATGACAAAATTGAGGCTTAGAAATGTAGGGTTCTGATAGTTGACATCATAGCTGGAAGGGCCCGTAGCTAATTCAGTAGGTGTGGCCTGTGGCCCAGAGTCTGCATCACTCACTGGTCCACTATTGATGCTCATCTGCTGACCCACTAGAGCCACACTTGAGGTCATAGGCAGAGAAGGATAAACGTAGACATGGATAAAAAAGTCTAAGATAGGTTGGTGGCAAGTTTGGAAACACATCAGAACATTTCTTCTGTCTCAGAACCACAGAGATTCTGAGGGTTTACATAGTTGTCCGAGAGCTACCTGATGGATACATCTTTCTGTGGCATTCTTTCACTCAGCAGTCCACTGGCCTGTCACCCGAGAGACATTTGTTTCTCATCACTTTCTGCTAGAAAATCTCTATCGATTTTGACTTAGCTGATGAGCCTCATGCTGTCTGTGTCTCTTTCAGTGGAAACTCCATGAGACTCTGGAAAATCTGAGGAAAGAGCAAGAAAAGGCCTGGAAGCTGGAAGTTGATGAGAAGAAACGAACTGCCACCTGGAAGGCAGGTTGTCGCCAGGAGAAAAGTGTTTGTGTGTTTCCTGTGGCACTGGCCGATGGTAGCGTCCTCATCTCTCATGCAGGATATGGGGTTTAAAGTCAGCACCCACGGGTCTCATACCAGCTTTCTCCCAAGGTTTGTGGTGTTGGGCTGCCATGTAGCTCCCAATGCCAGTTTCCTAATAATGGTGTAAGAGTAACCCATGAGCTTGTTTCTCTTGTGAGAAACAAAAAGTTTGGCATCACAATGATGCAACTTGTATGATGCTTAGTAAAGCCTAATTGCTGCCTCACCTTCCCCTTACAGAGTATCTTTATCAAGAGTTAAGTTTTTCAATCTTTTAAAATCCCCTCCACCAGGGGCTGGAGCGATAGCACAGTGGGTAGGGAGTTTCCCTTGCATGCGGCTGACCCGGGTTCGATTCCCAGCATCCCATATGGTCCCCTGAGCACCACCAGGAGTGATTCCTGAGTGCTTGAGCCAAGAGAGTAATCCCTGTGCATCGCCAGGTGTGACCCAAAGAGAAAAAAAAAGAAAAGAAAAATCACCTCCACCATAAGCTGGAGGCTTGCATAATCAAAGCATCTGAATGTCTGGTCAAGAGAAGATAATACTGAGACCAGTCTAAAACAGCATGTTGATGTGACATAGTAAGAAGCAGAAACATTTAAGAGTGTGTTAAGCATTCTACCTTTGAGTCTTATGTGGGGTTCTCTGTTCATTATTCTGAAGATAGAAAAATGTCTAGAATATATAGTGCTGAGATAATACTTTGGGCTCTACCAGGGTCAGTGGAACCCTGAAGTGTGGGCAAAAGCTGTGAGGGCAGAAAAGCAGGATCATTTATTTTCTTGATCTTTGCCTCTATAGCACTGGCTCCTAGTCATTACCAGAGTGTGTGTGTGTGTGTGTGTGTGTGTGTGTGTGTGTGTGTGTGTGCGCGCGCGCTCACACATCAGAGTCCTCAATCCTAAGTAGCCTTTACATGGACAGTGTTGACGTCAGATCTTGGCTTTGCAGATGCAGGTGGAAACCCGGAAACAGAGCATCATGTGGGAGTTCGAGAAATATCAGCGCTTACTAGAGGACAGACAGCCCGCGGACCGGCAGCTTGAGGCAGAGGCAGCCACGGCTCTGGCCCTGCTGGAGCAGGAGAAGGGGGAAACCCTGCAGAAGCTGGAGCAGAGTCGTGAGGGGCTAGTCCAGCAGAGCCAGGCCCTGTGCAGGATGATTGCCGAGCTGGAGGAGATGACCCAGAAGCCTGTTCGCTGGATGCTGCAGGTGAGGAGCCATTTTTTCCCAGGGAACCCCAACAGGGAGCTGAAGGGAGACAGGAACTCCAGGAGGGAGGTTCAGCTAGTCTTCCATGGGGCCCTGCCACCACTGTGCTCCCCGGCCTGGCTCCCCATATACGCCCACGTACTTACTCTTCATGGTGCATGGCTCACCTGGCCTGGGGTAGCCCCTTAAGTGGGGCAATGTCAGACAGCTGTGATGAGCCAGTTCTCAGGAGTGAGCCTGCAGTCAGAGAAGTCGCCAAGAGTTCCATGTGCCCTTCTCTCTCCGATGGGGATGTGCCCTCACCCTCTGCCATCATTCTTTCACTCTCCTCAGCCCCCTTTACACGCCAGTGCTCCAGATCTGCCTCATCACTCTGAGAAATGGCACATATAACTCATGCACTGCATTTGTTTTCCTTTTCCAGGGTATTCAGGAAGTTTTAAACAGGTATGTGCCCCTCCTTAGAGCCCCTTGCATCCCTGTAAGGGAAAGAGGGGCCTAGTCAGAGCCAGAGGCCTGGGAGGAACATGGATCCAGCACCCACAGTGAAGCTCATGCTGCTGTATAATCTCCTCCCTCTGTGCGGTGGCTAAAGTTTTGTTCAGATTTTTTTTTTCTTCATTATACTTGGCCAAGTACATTTCCAACATCAACACTAGGACAAATTTCATATCAAGTGATTAAAGCATATAGTTTCAAGTAGATCCCAGTTGGGGGGTTGGTGGGGTGAGTGGAGGCAGGGCGAGGGGACCTGTCTCAGTGCCTCGAGCTCTGGGCAGGAGCACCAGCCTCCCTTCTTTGCAGCAGTGTCTTCCTCTCCTAATGAGCTGCCCCTCTACCCTCATCCCCAGTCATCTGTTCTCTCCCAGCCACACCCCCTTAGGGCTCGGTCCAGCTCTGCTGCACCTGCTGTGGCCAGCCCGTGACCCTCATTGGCTAGGAGCCTGGCCCGGCCCTGCTTTTCTATTCTGTGGGAAGTCTACATAGCAGAGTCAGGACTGCAGGCCCCTCCACCTCCAGGTGTAGGTCCTGGACTCTGCAGCCACCAGAGCCAGTCTCCCTGGAGTTGAAAACGGAATGCCGCGTGCAAGGCCTGAGAGAGATCCTGAGGTCCTATGCAGGTATGATGCTGGGGGAGCTTGTGACAGGCAGTGGGAGGGATCCTCCTAGGGGATAATGGTTCGGGACCCCTCTGTAGCCCCATTGTACAGCTGTATCAGGGCGGCGGTGCCCCCTGGGCTCCTCTTCCCTAGCTGATGTGCGCCTGGATCCAGACACCGCTTATTCCCGGCTCATTGTGTCAGAGGACAGAAAGTGTGTGCACTATGGAGACAGCCAGCAGGACCTCCCAGACAACCCCGAGAGATTCTACCGCTACAACATCGTCTTGGGTAGCCAGCGCATCTCCTCGGGCCGCCACTACTGGGAGGTGGAAGTGGGAGACCGGACTGAGTGGGGCCTGGGAGTGTGTACAGAGGATGTCGATCGGAAGGAGGAGGTCTACTTATCCCCCCGCTATGGATTCTGGGTGATCAGGCTGAGGAAGGGAGATGAGTACCGGGCAGGCACCGAGGAGTACCCACTCCTGTCCTTGGCAGTCCCACCCCGCCGAGTGGGTGTCTTCCTAGATTATGAGGCCCATGATATCTCCTTCTACAACGTGACAGATAATGGCTCCCACATTTTTACTTTTCCTCACTGTCCCTTCCCAGGGCACCTCCTGCCCTATTTCAGTCCTTGTTACAGCATTGGAGTCAACAACACGGGTCCTCTGACCATCTGTTCCTTGGACATGGAGGACTGAGAGAGCCTCCCTTTCAGCCAGAGAAATCAGAATTTGTTTATCCTCAAGGTTCTTGGAGAAGACCTCTGAACCAGCTTCCCCTTGAATTAAGCCAGACCTAGAATCCAGGGCTTCCCCTGCCTGGCCCAGTTGTCTGTGATGCTGGCCAAAGTTTCTCAGTAAATCACTCATGTAAAGAAACTGACACTCAGACGGGCCTTGCACCCCTGAGGAAAATGTGACAGAGCTGATGGTAAGGAACAGACTAGTTCTAAGAACGAGAACTCGTTCCATTCTGTACATCATAGTCCTTTTCCCCACCTTGTTTTGTTGCATAAACACAAACTGAATAATTTATTCAGTGAAAATGATGTAGTTGCAACCTTTAGGTAACCCTCTGACTAGGGTTTTCCAACAAAGCACAATATTTAGTTGTTTTTCTAAAACTAGTTTGACAAAACTTCACCCGTGGTTTGCTGCTACCCATTTCTTGGGGTTGGAGCAATAGTACAGCATGGAGGGCATTTGGCTTGCACACAGATGACCCAATTCAATTGCCAGCATCCCATATGGTCACTTGAGCCCCGCCAAGACTGATCCCTGAGCACAGAACAAAGAGACAGCCCTGAACACAGCTGGGTGTGGCCCAGAAAGAAAAAAAAACTTTAAACAGCGTTAATGCCACAGATTATTTCACACAAGACTGCTGAAAGAAGAAGATTGTAATGATTTTAAAATGTTTACACATACATATGAAATAAAATCAGCAAACTCCTCCGGTCAAATGTCTCCTTACCTGCATACTATTCATTGCATTTGTCTTAGAAATATCCAATATTTTTGAAAAAAATTTTAATAGGTGTAATAGCAGTAGTAGCTGCATAATCTACCTCAAGTTGACAAGGAAGTTCTTAGATCTGTATCCCATACTCCTCCCTCAGGGAGAGAGGAAAGAAAGCTATGGGGTTTTGTCTGTGGTGATGTGTTATTTTGTTTTTTGGGTTTTGCTCTGTTTTGCCTTTTTGACGCCATACCCATTGATGATGAGGAGTTACTCCTGGCTCTGCACTCAGGAATTACTCCTACCAATGCCCAGGGAACCATATGGGGTGCCAAGGTTGGAGCCCAGGTCAGCCACATGCAAAGCCAGTGCCATATCCGCTGTACATCACCCTAGTCCCTGCCTGTGGTGATGTTTATATCTCACCATACAGACAATATATTTACATCTTTGTTGTAATACTTTCTTATTTCTTAGGCCTTTCCTTACAGTATACAGCCCTTTAAATAGAAATATGCTCATGTTGGTGACAGACTCCAGGCCATGGTAGTATAGTTTGTATCTGTCCTTGAAGCAGAATGGACACTATGTCTTTTAGAGAGAGTGAAAAAATAAAAAACACAACCTACATAGAAAGGAAAGCTGACCCACAGACTAGTGGGTTGAAGTTTACATCATTATATGTCACAAAGAGATTCATCATGTTTCTGATACAACGTTATAGTCTATCTGCTACTGTCTTCTCTTAATCTAACAGAACAAGGAATGGGGAAGGGATAGAGAGAAAACATGACTAGGCTGTAAAATTTCATATAATGATGGAGAATTAAGGCTATACATGCTTGGATTATTTAGAACAGTTGTGACAATACTACAGTACAGATCTTAAGAGTAAGATATGAAAATGATTATGGATGGAAACAAATTGCAAAGCTCACAAATGAAAATTATTGGCACTGCTTACTGCAATAAATGACAATGTGTAGAACATTACATATGGTCATGGTACTGTATAGTAAATTCTGATGTAGTTTAATGGGGACTGATTTGGATAGCAAAATAGATATTACATTGGGTCAAAGGGAGAAGCAAAGTAACTTCCAAATGGTTGGAATAAGGATTTTTAAAAAATATCTTCCTGCCTTAATTATGTTGGAAATATGGAGATAAAATAGAAATAAATCCATTCTTCCCATGATATTTTCAAATTTCAACTTGAGCATTAGCAGTTGAAGGGGAAAAGTTTCTATTAGCTACTCCAGGAGTAATCAGCTGGTACATCAAAGACCTGGTTTCGGTAAAGGGTTGAGCTGATTTTCCCTGGAGGTGCTATATATTTTTGTTTGGGGAATTGTTGGTAGACTTGAGAAGAATATCTCAAGCACTTCAAGGTATATTCATGGACAGTTAGCAGAAGAGATTACTGTTCCCACCACTGCTGTTCTTTTGCTGTAGTTTATTAGAACACATCATGAAAAGTACCCAGAAGAGGACTAATTCAATGATAAACTTATTCAAAATTCATAGAGCAAATTAAGGAGCACAATTGCTTTGTAATGTGCTATATGTTGTCTTGGCATTTATATGCTTATTTGGGTTCTATGATTGATTTCATATTGGAAGGAAGGTTAAACAAAACTACATCATTTCCTATTGTTTCACTTTTAAGACCGAAGAAGATTGAGGGTTGTATGTGTGTGAAAACTATTTTCAAAGGTAGTTACCTACACTTCTCTTCTAATAACTCCTTAAAGATGAGGAACTTTTCTGTCTATTATTGTGGCCCTGTGTAGCACTGTATGTATACGTGTACACACATGTGCATGCACACACATGTACATGTATGTTAATATTTAGTGAACTTTCATTTACATGCCTATAGTCAAAAATAAGTTCTCTGCCTCATAGGTATATAAAAGAATGGATACTATTAGTTAAAATCTTACTCAAAAACTTGATTGTATGGATGTTATAAAAGAAATCCAGAAGGGTAAGAAGCAGGTAATCATGGAGAGAATGTCCGGTGCCTGGACATTCCCAGAATGCGTGGAATGACAACTTGATGTGATTATTCCCTCCCAAACCACGTCTAGTCTTGCCTATTCTTGTTTTACTGTCAGAGAAACTAAGGGATGCAATGCCTGAATCTTGAGGTGAAAAGCTGCCAAAATGTAGGAGGAAACAGAGGACAAATCCCTGAGTTTATAGGTCCCCACAATAAGTCATCTCCCCTTTTTCCAGGAATCTTGATATTTCAATCTCTTAAAACTAAGAGTGTGAGGGGCTACTCTGGGTCCAAGGTATCTATTAAATGAGATTGCATGGATTAGGAATGTAGTTTCAGTAACAGCACATGCCGCGCATGGGTAAGGTGCTGGATTCCAGTCACGGCATCCCATGGCCCCCTTGTACGCTGACAGTTATAGTGCTCATAGGAATAACAGCAACAACAACCCCTGCTCAAAAAAAAAAAGAATTACTTCATATAGAGCAAGATTAGAATCTGAAATGTACTCAGTGAAGTCTGGGGTTACTGGAGTGATCTAGTTAACCATCATAGGGATCAGATCCCCTCAGAGAAGCATATAGTTTAATAAATACTTGAGTAACAACAGTGGGCTCCAGTTTATTTCAGAGAACACTAATGTAAATGGAACAAAAAGTTGATATGTCAGGACTTCTGATGAAAGTGTGCGAAAGTTACATTTTATCACTTTGCAGTGGATTTTTGTTTTGGGGCCACATCCGGTGTTTGTTCCTGGCTCAGTGCTTACTCCTAGCAGGATTAAGGGACCTGGAGATTGAACCCAGGTTCTACCACTTGTAAAGTGTCTTGCATGCTCTACTATCTCTCTGGCTCCTACAGTAGATTTTTTAATGAGCTTAATATTCCTTGATTTTTGGGGAAAGAATGAGTTTTCAGAATGGAAATCTTATCAAATAGATTTAACCACCTCATAGTCTTAATTTGTTTCTGTGTTTTAAGAAAGGATATTTTGTTGGTGACTGTCACTATCACTGTCCTCCCCTTGTTCATCGATTTTCTCGAGCGGGCCCAGTAATGTCTCCATTGTGAGACTTTGTTGTTACTGTGTTTGGCATATCAAATACATCACGAGTAGCTTGCCAGGCTTTGACGTGTTGGTGAGATACTCTCATTAGCTTGCCGGGCTCTCCAAGAGGGGTGGAGGAATCGAATTCAGGTCAGCCATGTTGGCTGTGTGCAAGGCAAATGCCCTACCCGCTGTGCTATTGCTCCAGCCCACTACCTTACTAATAGGAGGTATATTAAAAGGTATAGAATTATCTTGTCTTAACAGGGATGTATAATAGGGGTATATCTGAGTGTACAAAATATTAGAATTGGAACCAGAAATCAATTTTTTCATTTCATTTTGCTAATATGTTTCCCTTAGTGTGAAACAGATTTCCCCTCATAAATTCCTGTGTTTGAAAGTGGCCCTTATCCATGGTCCCAAGTTTGTCTTGTAGATGAACTGGAATCCGTTTAGGCTGAAGAAGTACTCTTCCAGGTATGACATTTCAGCAAAGTTGAATGAATTAATTTATAGATTAGAAGGCAAAGTCATATGTTAGCACATGCATGCATATCACATGAGATAAAAACTCTTTTGAGAAAATAAGCTAGATGTAGGCAGTTGGTTTCTTTTAAAGAGAGACTACTTGAATATTGAGTTGGGAATTTTAAGTCTGAAACTGTGAGGACAAGAGAAACAACAGAACAGGCTTTTGTCAAGCTAAGAAACTAGCAAGACCTGAGTTTCTATTTCCCGGAGGACAGGATGGTACTAACGAAAGCAACACCCCGAAACCACAGACAAGGGTGACCGACCACGACCTAGGTAGAATGTCCCCAAGCCTGGCAGATGGTAGAGACTAATCAGCAAGCACCCCGCACCCAGCACCCAGTCATATTAGGAAAAGCCTGTTAGAGCTTGGAAAAACTTATGTAACAGATACTGCGATGCTTATCTAACCAAAACATATATAAACCACCTGAGAATTGGAGTTGGGGTTCTTGTCAAGACTTCACTGGGTTGGATGAGACTTGGACCCTAGCTCGAGCTAGCAATAAAGCTTCCTTTGCTTTTGCATTCTCACTTGTGGAACTGGTCTCTCTGAATGGTAAACCCAACACCCAGATAATAACAAAACAAAGTGAAGAAAAAATGAATATGTCCTCAGTTCGATCTTTTACTCAAATATTAATTATACCATTAAAAGTGTTGCCAGCTCTTCATGGTAAAAAATAAGTATTGGAAAAGGGAAATGTGTTTGATATTTGCATGACTGAGACCTAAACCTGAAAGCTTTGTAACCTTTCCCACAGTGATTCAATAAATAAATAAATTTTTTTTAAAAAAGTGTTGCCAGAAAATTAATCATTTCAGGCTGGAGAGATAGTACAACGGGTAGAGCATTTGCCTTGCATGTGACTGACCTGGGTTCAAGAACATTTATGGTGCCATGAGGATCAAGCCAACTCTGTGATCAACTTCAAAAGTAAGCTACTTGTGGGGCCAGAGATTCAGCTGGAAGAGTTTGCTTTGCCCAGATTCAATACTTAACATCTCATCAGCAGTTCCTGAGGACTGCCAAGAGTGATTCCTGAGAGCAGAGTTAGGAGTAATCCCAAGTAATGCTGGGTTTCACCCAAATGGAGCCTGAATAGAATAGAATTTGTATTAAGTTTGTATTTATAAGTCTCTGCCCTCTTGAGAGCCGTGTCCTCTCTCTTTCTTTCTCTCCATCCTTTTCTCATTGTTCCTCTTCTTCCCCCTTTTCTCTCTCTTCTTTCTCCCTCTCTCCTTCCCACTCTTTCTCCCTTCTCTCTTCCTTCTCTGTCCCCCATCACTCATATTCCCTAAATAAAATTATTTTACTTAAAAAACTTTTTTGTAATCAGTGGCTAAGGTGTTTACCCTGCATACAGCCTACTTGCTTTCTATCCATGGTACTACATAAGGTTCCCCCAAACTCTTCCAAGATTGACCCCCGAGCATCACTGTGTGTTTCCCCACAAAAAAATAAGTATTCATGAACCAAGGTGAGAGTGGTTAAAGAGGCACCGCATCAGCAAATTTGATGTTCGGTCTCTTATCTGTTTGGTTCTCAAGCCATAAATAATGGGGTTTAGGGTAGGTGGGATGACCAAGTACAAGTCAGCCAACAGCACTTGGGTGTGTAAAGGCACTAAGCCCTTACCTATCCAGGCCACATAGATGGATGCCATCCCTGGTAAGTAGTAAAGAGCCATAACCCCGACATGGGATCCACAGGTGCTTAATGCTTTCAATTGAGCATTCTTTGAGGAAAGACCGAACACTGCCTGGAGAATCAGGTTGTAGGAAGCAGCAATGAAAGTCACATCAGAGCCCACAATAATGGAAGAACCAATCATACTGTAGAGACTACTGGGCATGGGGTCAGCACATGCCAACTTGGCCACAGCTATGTGCTCACAGTAGGAATGAAGAACCACATTGGAGCCACAGAAAGGGAGATGACTCACCATCCAACTTAATGGAGTCATGAAGATGGCAGCTCTGATGATGATGACCACACACATGCCCAGCATCACTTGAGGTGTGAGAATTGTTTTATAATGTAGGGGCTTACAGATGGCTACATAGCGGTCAAAAGCCATAGCCAGCAGCAGCCCTGTCTCCACAGCTGTGGCTGCATGAACAAAATACATCTGAGTAAAACAAGCATAAAAGCTGATGGAGCCATTTCCTGAGAAGAAGATGTCCATCATTTTGGGCACTACGGAAGAGGCCATAACAATGTCCACAGCAGCTAACACACATAGAAAGTAGTACATGGGCTCTCGTAGAGTGGAATCCATCCAGATTACAGTGATTATGAGGGTATTTCCTAAGAGGACTATAGCATACATAGCAGTTAGTGATATAGCCAGCCAGAGATGTGAAGACTGCAAACCTGGGATACCCACAAGAAAGAAGGAAGTGGTCTCCACTGTGTGGTTGTAAGGTGGTCCCAGCATCATTGACGAGACAGCTTTCCTGTTAATGTATAAAATATGTAAGAAAGGGATTCAATTGACTCATAGCTCCTGAAATAGTATGCTCAGTTCTGTGGTCCACAGTATAAGAAACTGACATTTGACAAACTTGTCCTGTGCTACTTTCCATTTTCCTCATCATTTCTTTTTTTTTATTACTTCCTATTATTATAATAGGTTTCCTCATGGGTTGTCTTCTTTGGGGAATCTATAAGTCTCCTCTAGCCCTTGTTGAGGCTAAATCAGGTGTCTTACTTCTAAGCTTTAATCAACTCTTCCATGCTGACTTCTGAGCAACTAACAATTCCTATCTTTTACCCATTACTTTATTATATTCAATCAATTGTGTTTGTTTTGTTCATGCCAATTCCTGGGTATATGATTGATAGCAGTGATACACACATCTGTAAAGAGAAAGAGAGAGAGGAAGAGAAAGAGAAGAGAGAGAGACAGAGAGAGAGAAGAGCGCTTGCCATAGAGGCAGGTTGTGGGGGAGGAGGAGGGAAACTGGGGATATTGGTGGTAGGAAATGTACGCTATTGAATGGACAGGTATTGGAACATTATATGACTGAAACCAAATCATGAATCAATAATAAACAACTTTGTAATTGTGTTTCTCACAATGATTCACTAACAAAATAGAAGACATGTGTACTCTTTCCAAATGATTTCCATAGAATTAAATATTGAGTAGTTTGTCTTCTTTTTGGTGGGCAAGTTGGACCACACTCAGCTGTGTTTGAGCTCACTCCTGACTGTCTAGGAATCATTCCTGCAGTTTCTTGAGGAAATCATATGTGATGCTGGAAATCAAACCAAGGTCTACTAAAAGCGAGGCATGAGACTTAACCTTTGTGCTATCTCTATAGCCCTGAATTTTATGTTGTACATTCAGTTTTCAATGCTTAATAATTATTGAAGGAAACAATGAACTTCTTGATATGAACATGTCACCTCTTCTATTCTAAGTATAGTGCCTAGGCATAAGATGAAAAAAGCATCCTTCTGGTCAAAGAATTAGATCTCTGGATTCAGGAAAATTATATCATTAGAGAGCAACATGATCATTTTCATTGGAGATAATAAACTGGAAATATTCATAGTCTACTTGTTCTAAAGTTCAGCCTATTTTCATGTTGTTTAATTTCTAGATTAAATTGGTATAAATAAATTTTAGTATTTCAAAATGTATGAAAATGTATACCTCCTTCTACCCTGCAGGTATATTTTTTATATTTCTCCAATATGAAAAAATTCTCTTCATTAGAAATTATGAAGTCATTCTAAACAGTGAAGAATAATCCTTTGACAACTAAAACATTTCTTAATGAATATAGTATATACCAGTACAATGCTTATAAGTAGAGTCAATCTAACTATTTCTCATTTTACAAAATAAAATATCTGTACTTTCAAAATAGTTGATATGACTATTCTAGGATTAAACATATTTTTCCCAAATAACATAATAATGGTAAATTTGAGATTCAAGTACAGATCTTTCTCTTAACACCTGTGAGTCCCCAGTGTCCATCAATCTCAAGATAAATAACAAGAAAATGACTCAGGACTGTCAAAAAAAAGTGAAATGTTAGTAGACTTATTTGACCAGTTTTGATGGGACAAAGTTACTATTCTGCATAGTAACTGAATAGCTAGTTCTGCATAGCTAGTAACAAGTTAATCTCTATTTATTGCAATTTTAGTTCCCATCTATTAGCTTATGACAGTATTATTAATGTGTGTAATAGTCTTATTGTATAAACATTAAATAGTCAGCATTAACTACTATTCTACTCTTGAGATAATCCTTTATTTAAGGTTGCTTTTGCACAGATGTTTCCCATGACTTTATATATTTGGGAATAAGCACACTGCTCTAATCATCTGAAGATACTTATAAAGATCACTTTTTTCTCTTGTGGAGTCACTCAGCTTTGGGTTATGCTGATTAGACTTCTTCAAGGAACATCGGTTTCTCTTTCCTTATGAATTCTGCATGTTTATATGTATACTGCTTAAAATGTGTTATTAGTTCTGTATCATCAAAAGATAGGATAGAAAAATAGCTAATAGCATTGGTTATAAATAATAATCCCTAGACTGGAATTTATCTCTGTCACTTACAAGTGTTGTAAAAGTGCTTAGTACATAGATGCTCAATATAATATAGCTAGTAAAATTAACCTATTTCCCCTGATTACTTCTCTGGTTCTACATTGTTCTATGTAGCATACTCTACTGTGTGTGAGTTGAAGATAAAACTAATATCTGAGTAGGGGCTGGAGCAATAGTACAGTGGGTAGAGCGTTTGCCTTGCATGAGGCTGACCCAGGTTTGCTCCCTGGCATCCCATATGATTCCCACCCACCCCCACCCCATATACTGCCAAGAGTAACCCCTGAGCATCACTGAGTATGACACAAAAAGCCAAATAAATAAATATATCTGAGGGGTCTGAGAGATAATACTGGGGTTAAGGTGCTTGTCTTGCATATGGTCAATCCCAGTTCAATCCCTGGCACAGCATTTGGTTCCCTGAGGAGAGGGCCAAGAATAATTAAGCTCTAAGTAAACTGGATGTGGCCAAAAAAAAAAAATTGCACAGCCTGGAATTTCAAAAAACTTTTCCTCCTATGATCTGTTACTGAGATATACCAGCAGTACACAGCCAAATTCTTATCTGACTATTGGGTGAGACATCTTCGCAGATGATGAATCAGGAGAAAACAAAAGCTTATTTTGAGCAGGATTTTAACAAATGGTAGGAAAGGTAAGAGTTAGAATATAGAGTGATTGTTTTTTAAACTGCTGTTTGCTTCCTGGATACCACAAACTCAGTTAAGCATTACTGCTTAAAGAGCTAACGGAGAGTCTGAAGAAGCAGCTCTATCTTTCTCCTCCCATTCACCTCTGATCTAGGATCTTTCACTCCTAATCTGCTGCCTTTTATAAATCTATCTTTCTTCTGAGGGGAGTCTCAGCTGGAACCCTAAGCATCCCCGTCTCAAGTCTGGTCCATGGTTTTTCATATTTTATTAGTATTTTAAAACAGCAGGGCATTTGGTTTGGGTTTTTTGTGTATTTTTATTTTTGTTTGTTCTGTTTTGTTCTTTGACTTATTTCTACTGAAAATTTTTTTGCTATGATCAAAAATGTTCATCTTTAGTAACATGCTGTTCAGTCATTTGTTTTCAGTTTCTGTTTTACTTAATTCTCAAAAATCTTCACTGCCTACTCCCCTACTCCCCCCACTACTCTTTTTCGGGGGGGGGTGTTAATTTATGCGGTATAACATATATACTGTAAAATGCCCAAATTTCAGGTATACAGTTTGAAAAATAATATAGTGAACACATCTGCATGGCTACTACCGGAATCAAGATATAGAGATGATAGATTCTGGGTCTTGAGGGACACTATTCAGGAAGCTTTGTTTGTTTAAACTACCCTGAGGCAGGTCGAAAACCTATCTCTGCTCTCTGCCCTGAAAGAGACATTCACTTTTAGTAACTGAAAGACCGTGAAGATTTGTCATTCCCATACAAAGGATGTGTAATATATATCCCAATTTTTAAATGTCTTAAAATTAAGAGAAGATATGCAGGAGTCATTTTAATGGAGTTTTTGTATTTATGATAACTCTATGCCTTTCTTCTCTAGCCAAGATGGTCCCAACCAGCCCTGCAGCTCAGTTTCTTATCCCCTAAAAATTCTCTTTAACCCTTCATATCCCCTAAAAATTCTCTCTTGAGCCAAGAATGAACTTATCCATCCCTCCTTCAGCTTTAAACCACAGTAGGCATATGTTCTCTGTTCTCTCTCATCCAATTGCCCATCATTTCCACCAGGTGATCTTGATAGCAGGAGTACTCACCAGATGTTTATATTTTTCTGTCTTGAGTCCCCTGGCCTTGACACTCCATCAGACTAATACATGGTTCCCAGGTAAGTTAACACACCCTCTGTGTTTTCTCTACTCAGCCCCCCACTAATATGCCCATATCTAGTATTCCACATTTCTTTCACTCAAAAGGTACTTATTTATACAGAATACTTCAGGAGAGTGACAGAAGGTCAAAGATGAACATAGAGCAATGGTAAAGAGTATTGTCACAAAAAATCCCCAATGGGAGATTGCTTTACCCTTTAGATTCTTTATCTTCTACTTTTTCCCAGGACACACTGGCTTCCCTTGGCCTCTGCCTAACAGCCAAACACTAACTGCTCCAGAGATTTATTTTTCTTTGTGCTTTGCCCTCTGGAGATTTTCAGATTGCAGGAGACAAGAGTGAATAAAGAGTCTTTGTTTCAAATCCTCAGAGGATACCCTAAGAGTTAGAATATAGAGTGATTGCTGAAAGGAAAACAAAAGGCCAGTGATTATATTAAGGAAAACTTGCTATATGCAAACCACCTTGATAAAGACTTCTCAAAGATAATTCCATTTAATTTCACAATCCTTTGAAGTAGGTGACATTATTGCATCTAAATTTTATTTTTTATTATTATAGTTTCAGTATCATATGGACAGTCATATTAATGTCTATGATCGATGTAACAGATTCTCACACTTCTCTATCACCAAAATAGTCAAAACCCTCCACCAATGACCTAATATCATTTCTAGTCTATGTCTTCATCACCCTCCCATCTTCCCCATTCCCTAGCCCCTCTTACCCTCCCCACCACTTGGCAATCTCAGTTTTTGTAATCCAGGGACAGGGTTCTTTTTTTATAATTGATGTTGGCCGTTCATGTTTTATTTCACTATAGACCCACAGATGAATGAGGTCATCTGGTAGATATCTTTCTCTCTTTAACTAATTTTATTTAAATGATACCCTCCAGTTCCATTCAAGTTGCAGAACACTTCATGATTTCACATTTTCCCATAGTTGCACAATAAATATATTATACAGTCTTTATGCATTCATCCATTGTTGGACATTTGGGTTGTTTCTATATCCTGGCTATTGTGATAAGCACTTCAAT